CTCGCCGTGTGCCAACCCGTGGCAATTGCTACACTTCGTCTCGCGCACCTTTATTTTTGCTTTGCGTGAGCGCAGGTGCCTCGTCGAGCACGTGACGTCGCTCTTGTGTATCTGCATCCACGTAGTACGCTATTAGGTAACGCGTCGATAGTGCGTGAATTGGATTTGCCGTCGTAACGCCTGCCTGCCGCCTACAGTACGTTTCATTGTCCGCGCTGCTACTAGCAGCGGCGAGGCTGCACAAAAGTCGGTTTTCACACGGGCTCTCGACACAGCAGCCCGGCCGCCTGTGTATACCCACGATAGAAAAACGTTCCGCTCGCCCGGAAGGACGTTTCGCAGTTTGAATTTTCACGGTACGCCGTGGTGTTCGCGCGCTTCGCTCATCTCCGGAAATAGGCGAGTTCTCTCTTGCGGATTCCTGCCAATAACGCGCTACCTCTGCGCGAATTTCGATTGCTTTAATTTGTCTTTGTATCGATATTTGTCGTTGGATTTCTTTTTTTCTTTTTTATCGTGCTGTATAAATGTCGTTTTGATACGATATATCGTAAGTGGAAAATTTAATATTTGCGTTAGGGTTTCAGGATTTTATATACTTTTTACGCCTATTTTATTCTTATAATCGCTTTAAAATTTAATACTTTTTTTAATTTAAAATTTTCTTCATTTAAAATTTATCATTTTTTACCCACTTCTTAATTTATCGCGTAGAAAATTTTAAGACAAAACAATTGTTAATCAACCGATTTTAAGGATACATTGATAATCTGTTTACAATTTTTTTAATTAATGCTTTATTCATATTATACCGATAAAGTACAATTCTCTGCAAATTTATATCGATACGTCGCAATATATTTTTCACGAACATCATTCACGATATAATATTAATAAGAATTATAGAGTTGCAAATTCGATGAAATTCTGTGAAATTTTGATTAATGAAATCTCAACACTACCTGATGATTGTGATCGTTAGAGCTTAGCGTCATGAAATAGTGCAGAAAGCGTTAATTGTAATCTCATGAAAGCATCCTTGGGTCAAAATGTACACGTCTATTCCTGTTACTCATTAAAACAGGTATCTATTCACGTATCTGCCTACACGTGTCCGTTTTTTTTTTTCGAGAATTAAATAAACAACTTTCAAATACAGTAGGCACAATCATTTTACGGCTACGTGTACAAAAATGAGAAGTGGCGATTAATCTGAGACCTTAGATGACCTATTAAAAATGCTTATTTTGAGATTGTGTAATAAGCACCTCGTGACATTTGCATCAACCAGTTGTTGTCATTGTGCCTGATAAAACAGAGAAACTTTTCATCTAGCGATAACTCGATCAATTTTATTCTTTTTAAATTCACTAAATCTAAATTTTAACAATGGAGGATATTTCATAAAGTCAAATATTGAAATATTCACGAATTTGAACATATTTATTTAATACATTTATTAAACTAACCATTTAATCATCTGATTGCATCTCGTTTTAAAATAACACAAAGTATCATTTTATTTTCCTTTCTACTATCAATCAATATTGATAATTCATTTTTATGCTAGACCCGTTTATTGGACCATTCAATTAATATTCTATCGCAAGAACCAGGCCGCCTTCTTCCTGTATCGTGTGATCTATGTCCGATAGCGACGATGTCTCACCACTTATTACCATAACTTCTTCGAGACTTTGTAAAAAAATTGAAATTCAATATTCCACTCGCTCGTAAAATTTTATTATTTAAAATTTTTTATTTTAATAATCAATTATTATTATTATTACTTTCTCGAAATATCGAAACGAGATATTTTCTTTTTTTTTTTTTTTTCAAACTAGAAGAAACTGTCTTTCGTCGATCGAACTATATTAAGTTGGCCAAATTGTTTGTAACTGTCTGGCGACGATACTTCTCAATTAAAAATCCGCAGCCGAGGTGTCAAAACATTTTGCACGCCATTAATATAAAAGCGTGGCCGCGTTACACGCTCGCACACGCGCACGTGCCAACAAAGTTACTCTAATTAATGGTAGCACGTTCGGTATTGTATAATTCTGTTTACGGTGGTTGCTGGCCTCGTGCATACGTCATGCAGCATGCGCGTACCAATTTCTACGGCTGATTGTTAAGTTCCATTTATTGGAATGTAACACTCGAATGAATGCGCGACGGGTGAAAACGCTTTTTAATATGATGAATAATCTGTGTGCATTGCTGCACGCCGTTCGATAAACGCAATGTCATCAATCAGGGATACCAAACGGAATACTAATTTCCCAGACGATTTCAAAGATGCATGAACTGTTGAGGCA